ATCTGGGGGAAGCCTGGAAGATGTGTATGTACGGAAGACACCATTATCTCTAGACACCTGGAGGGCTGTGGAAAGTCCCTAGGGAAACACCGAATGTCCTGAGATGCTGTAAACCACCCAGTGTCCCTAAAGAACCTCCCTGTGTATTAAGAACATCTTGACAACTTATCTACTGTGTGCCAGACTTTCTGGATGATTCCTGTATCTCTTATGTGCCAGCCTTGCTAGGTAGAGTTTAGGAAAAAAGCATAAGCAATAACACTTAGACTTATATACTGCTTCATGGGGTTTATAGCCCTCTCTAAGTGGTTTACAGAGTCAGCATACTACCCTCAACAATCTGGGTCCTCATTTTACCCATCTCGGAAGGGTGGAAGACTGAGTCAACCTTGAGCCTGCTGAGATTTGAACTGCCAAATTGCAGGCAGCCAGCAGGCAGCAGAAGTAGCCTGCAGTACTGCACTCTAACCACTGCACCACCATGGCAGATTATTAGATTAGATTTATTAGATTTAGATTCTTTAGATACAAGAATCTCTGTGTGTTCTGGGCTTCCTCTCTGTTAGAGGGGGCCCATCTTTGCTCAGTTGAATAAACACGTATATTTAATGGTAATACCTGCTATTTTGTCTCTATTTTACCAAGCCTCACCTCAAATTCAGCACTACACTTTGTCTTTTTCTCGAAGACATTTTCCTTCTCATCCAAGAAGCTTCTTCAGTGCTGACACTTCAGAAGTGAAGAAGTTTCTTGGATGAGAAATGAAATGTCTTCAAGGAGAAAGTTCACTTGCCTTTTGAAAAAGCACCTTTGGGACAACCATGATGTGGATGACTGTGAATCTCCGTAGAGGCTCTTGAGTGGATTGCCAAAATCACAGAAGACAAGAGATAGAAGATATCATGGAACTATTAAGCACAATGTCCCCTGATGACCATTTGCAACATCCTATTGTCTTCCCCATTGACTTTGCTTGTTGGAAGCCAGCAGTGAAAATTGCAAGTGGTGATCATTTGAGTACAGAACACTATTATTCTAATTATGAATAATTATTGTTGCAATCACATGATTCCAGGGAAACTATAGTAGCCGCAACTTCAAGAAATGGTCATAAGTCCCTCCATTTAGGGTTAACCTAATTTTGAGTGGTCAATGAATGAAAGGTTGTTAACCAAGGATGCCCTGGAATATTATTTATCTACCTATACTTGATTCTTCTATTTCATTTCATTTTTTAAGAAGTTTTTAATTTATTTTTCAATTTTAAAAATAATTCCTTAAGCAGTGTGTCGTCTGGGTACAAATATTTCTGTGCAACATCCTTCCATGGATTATAATACATTGAACAGTTAAACATTGTAAAGCTATTTATTTCCTACTTAACATATCTTCTAATAAAAATGCAATAATAACATTAAACATTTTATTTCTTTACAGCTTTTCATAATTTAAAGAATAAAACTGGGAGGGCGGGAAATATAGAATGGCTTTACTTTGTATTCAGCTGAATTATAAATTACTGATTGATGTAGATAAACAAAAGCCTTCTCGAATAGCAACAACACGTAGAGTTATATACCCCTTCATAATGTTTTATAGCACACTCTGGGTAATTTACACTATCAGACTATTGCCCCCAACAATCTGAGTCCTCATTTTACTGATCTTGGAAGGAAAGCTGAGTCACCCTTGAGCCGGCCAGGATCGAACTGCTGGCAGTGGGCAGAGTTTGCCTGCAATACTGCATTCTAACCACCAGCACCAAAAGGGCTTTTGAACTTTCTAAACCAGCAGCCCTCAACCTCTTGGGCACCAGGGACTGGTTCGGCGGAGGGAGGTTTTTCCCATAGACGGGAGGGGGTATGGTTTCGTGTGCTGCCATTTATCCCACAGATGGGACTTTGCTTGTTTGTGCAACTAGTTTTCCTTAGGCTGCAGACTGGTGCCAGCCCATGAAACAGGAGTTGTGGACAGGGGTGGGATTCAGTCAGTTCGGACCGGTTGAGGCGAACTGGATGCTAATTTTACATCTGGTTCGCCAAACTCGTAGTTGCAAGGACTGGCTGGCAGTGCCCTGCCCACTCCACCCTGCCCATCCCAGGAGTCTAACCTGTTCATCATGCCAGGTAAGTGCAGGGCTGTGCAGAGGCTGTGGGAGGGCAAAAACCGGGCCTCCTGAAAGTTCCAGAAGTCCAGAAATAGGCCTTTGGAGGGCCTCCAGAGGCAGGAGGAGACCATTTTCACCCTCCCGGAGGCTCAAGAAAAGCTTCCGGAGTCTGGGTAGGATAAAAATGCACCCCCTGCCCACCATGGTGCAGGAGGCCGAGTAGGCCACACCCACCATGGCCATGCCCGCTCAGCAGCCAGGCAGAGAACCAGTTGCTAAAATGTTTGAATCCCACCCCTAGTTGGGAACCCATGTTCTAGACTATCAAATTTCTCCAGTAGGTTTTGGAAAGCGAGTGTTTCGTTTGAAAACTGTTTTGAAGGTGAACCTAATTCCCCTTAAAGAGCTGGTGAATGTTTCAAAAGTTTGATCCCCTTTAGGCATTAGGATTCCTCCGCCTCAAATGGCCGTGATTTTCTCAGCGCCAAAACACTCTTAAAACTTTTATTCCAAATCTGGTGGCCAGCAAAATAATTGGCTCTCGTGTGGAAAAACGAATAGACACACCCTATTCCCTTTCAGTTCTTTCTGCAGTGGCAAAAAAAAAATGTTAACACGAGAGCGGAAAAGCCTTACCTGATCCAACTTCTTGAGAGGCTCCCTCTGACTGAAATAAAGCAGATTCCCAAGCAGGGGCAGCTTCCATGGCCCAGGGGGGAAACCTTTGGGGCGTTGGCTCTTCCAGAACCAGAGGAATAGGAGAGAAAGAACGATCAGCCATCCGAAAACAGACATGCCGAAAACACAGATTTATTCTGTGCTCCTCCGTGGCTGTGTCTCTGGTGAATCAGCCAAAGATTAAATCTTTCAAAGTAAACTTTGATCAGAAGCCAGATTTCATAACTTTTGCACCTTTGGCAAGCAGAAAATTGAAAGCAATTTTCCTTAGGAAATATTGTCAAAGTACAATATTAGATTCCCCCCCCCCCAATAAAATGTCATAAAACATTTCCTTTTATGAATCTGGAGAATGCACCAGAATTAACCAAACAAAAGGGGGGGGGGGAAACAACCAAACAAACGAAGGCATCTCTGGCCTGGAGCATGCCTCTAATGAGGCTGCAATGTCCTTCCCCTACCAACACCGAGCCCAGAAAACCAATCACCCCGAAGTGCACAATCTGGTCACACAAATAAGTTTTCTTTAAAAAAAAACGTGGACATTTGACCCAGGACGATCTATATATCACATTTGGGATGATTTGAGATAGACAAGATGCCGTGGAAAATTTTCCACGAGGGACATTACAATAAACAGCTTGTTAACAGAGAGTTTTGAAACAAGCAAGGTGGCTATGATATTTAACGTTACATTTTAGTATGTATGGCAAAAGACATTGCCGGGACAGTTACACTGTGTCCAATGTTTTATTGTGCGTTTAATTTTTTAAAAAAACCCCTTTTGTTAAAAAAAGAAAAAAGAAAACCTCCAGTGTAGGAGCATTCACAACTTCTGGAGGAAAGCCGTTCCATTGGATACATAATAAAAGACTTGGAAGGTAACTTGAAGGTCTTCTAGTCCAACCCTCTGCTCAGGCAAGAGACCCTATACCCAAACTTCTGGAGACAATCCATTCCGTTAGCTGATTGATCTCACCGTTAGGGATTTTCTCCTTAGTTCAATCAAATCCAAAGACCTTATTCTGGCATTATCACATCAAGAGCCAAAGGCCATGGTTCAATCATGCTGGGTTGTCACATCCCCCAAAGATCTGGGAGACATGCTTCCAGGAACTATACAGGGTCACCCCTGTGAAAAGTGGGTGCCATAGTCAAACTATAGCAAAGCTGCCCAGGTGGCCACCAGTGTCAGAAAGTCAAATATATTTTGCATTTGCTAGAGATTCGAACTGCCAAACTGCTGATCTTTCAGATCGACAAGCTCAACGTTCTAGGCAATAAAATAATAAAACAAATAAAACAAATAAAATAATAAATAAACCAAATAAACCAAATAAACCAAATAAACCAAATAAAACAAATAAAACAAATAAAACAAATAAACCAAATAAAACAAATAAAACAAATAAAACAAATAAAACAAATAAAACAAATAAAACAAATAAAACAAATAAAACAAATAAAACAAATAAAACAAATA